CTCACTCTGTCACCCTAGGTGGAGTGCAATAGTGTCATTGTAGCTCGCTGCCACCTCAAACTCCTAGGCTCAAGCGATCCTCCTGCCTCAGCCTCCCGAGTAGCTGGGACTATAGGCGCCTGCCATGATCGATGCCCAACTAATTTTTCTATCTTTAGCAGAGACGGGGTCTGGCTCTTGCTCAGGCTGGTCTCGAACTCCTGAGCTCAAGCGATCCTCCCGCCTGGGCCTCCCAGAGTGCTAGGGTTGCAGGCGTGAGCCACCGCGCCTGGCCACATGATCCCTTTTGAATGAACACCTGACCACCCCCATGGGTCAGCTGGTGGTCCACAAGTAGCCCCAAATCTGTCCCTTTTGTCCTGTATTTCACTAAGATCTGGTAGGATATAGGACTGATTAGAAAAAGCAATTCCAGAAAGGGTGCACTAGAGCCTTCTAGTCCCCTGTGGGCTGTAAGGGCCCCTGGTTTCCAAACAGAAACACGCTTCCTGAGGCCGATAGAGCTGTGTGTCCTCTGTCACCCGTCCACTCTGGGGGACCAGGCTGGTGGAGTGGAATGAAGCTCTGAGCTTGAGTCCCGGCCCTGCCCCTGCCGTGGGCATTTCTCTTTGTCTTCCTGGGCTTGGGGCTCCTCATATGAGACGGGTGAGGCTGGCAGGCTCCCTCAGGCTCGGACACGGTGTGACTCTGAGCTCACACCATTGTCCTTCTGGGTCACCGTCAGTCAGTAGCTTCTCGCTGTCTGACCTAAAGCTCCTCTGCTACAACTCGCTCCTGCTAGGTCCCCATCTCGCTTTGGTCACGTGGGACCAGGCCCCCACGTCCCCAGGTCCCCGGGATGTCCTAGGACCAGGCAACTTTCACACCACCTGCCCCGTGGGACTTGGAGGGAAAGGCCGCCAACCCTTGCTACCCTCCCACCCCCTCCCGCCCAGAGGCTGCGGGAGCGCGAGGAGCAGTTTGGCCCTGGAGAGCTCAAGCTGTTTCCCCAGCGCCGAGCAAGCCCCAACGGGCCTGCAGTCCCTGCTAATCTGCCCATCACCGCAGGTAAGAATCAGAGTCAGAAAGCACTGGAGGGGCCCAGGCCCACGTGGGAGAGAGAGGGGAGCTGTTGGGGGTTGTTGATTCTATTCCAGAGCTTAATTGGTATAATTGCTCTCTTCTTCCTGCCAAACCCCGGGCCTCAGGATCGGCTCTCCCACCTGCGGGCGGACGCGGACTGCTCAAAACGTTCTTTCTGTCCCAGGCGGTGGGTTCTGCGGGCTGCTCAGAGGCTCCTGCAGCCCCCACACCCCCACATTGCAGGGGAGCCTGGGCCCACCCACCCCAGAGGCCCGGAGACCCCAGGGCAGCTGGAACCCTTACTTGAGGGGGTGTTCTTCAGGGAGTGCCCCACCCTAGTGGGAGCTGGGTGGGGAGGGGGGGCACTGTCTGCAGCGGGGTGCTGGGCCTGGCTCCCCCAGAGTCAGAGTTCCTGGTGGGGGGGGGAGTGGTGTCCAGTGAGAGGGGGGAAAGGGAAAAAACAGAAGCCGGCACTGCCCCGCTCCCTCCTGCTGCCTCCTCACGGGTGTTTTGTCCTCGCAGCCAAAGCCACCAGGAGGACCTCCAATTGCCAGGCGCCCAGTTCCTCCCTGGGGTCCCCAGGGCCCCCCTGGGTGGCCTGTTTGTCAGCAGGGGAGAAGGGAATGGAACAGTGGGCGCAGGCTCTGAGCTGCGTGTCAACCTCAGGACAGTCTCTGGGGTGGGCGGGTCAGCAGAGCACGCAGCCGGGGACACGGGTGCTCAAGGCTAGAGGGGGCGTTGGCGGCTGGGTCTGTCTGCGGGCTCAGCCCCACTCCTCCCGTGCACAGCTCCGAGCGCCCGGCTCAGGGTTGCTATATACAATATGAATATCTCGTGCGACCTACGTATACCGAAAAGCTATTCCTTGCTTATCTGAAAGTAAGACTTACCTGGGCATTGTCCCAAATATTATATGGGGCATATGTATGCTAAAATGATGTGTTATTTATCTGAAATTCAAATTTAAATGGGCAGCATGTATTTTTATTTGATGTATCTGGCAATGTGACCCTGGGTCTTTGTCCTGCCCCTGAGCCCACCTGGCCTGAGTGGACCCCCGGACTCCCTGCTCACCCCAAACACAAACGCAGGCCTGACCGATTTCTCCCACGGGCTCCTCCCACCTTCTTCATTTGCCAGTTTGCTTCGTCATCCCCCTTTGGCATGTCCCTGTCCTCAAGCATCAGCCACAGGGCTGCAGACACCGCCGCTCCCAGCCAAGCCGGCTTCCTCAGACAGCAGCCACAGGAGGAAATGGGCTTCCCTCCCTCATTCAGCCTTCCCGTCTTCTCCAGCCATCCCAGGCCGTTGGACAGAGCGTCAGAAGCTCTGGGAAACCTGGCTCAGTGCTTTAAAAACATTGATGTGCTTACGAATCTATGAATCACCAGGGAATCGGGTCAAAATCCAGATTCTGATATAGTAAATCCAGGGTGGGCTTGTGACTCTGCATTTCTGACAAGCTTCCAGGCGATGGTCCATGGGCCGCCTATGGGGAAGCGAAGACCTAGGGGAAGAAGACCTGGTTTGTTCACTGATGCCTCAGCGGGGCTGGGGTGACAGGACAGCATGACCGCGCCGGGACAATGTTTAACCTAGGCCTCCTTGACGGGGTGGACAAGGCGGGTGTCTAAGTGCCAGAGACTGTTGAGGGGCAGGGGTGGGACATTCTGGGAACATTCCAGGTTTGTGTGGAAATCAGTGAGGTGCGCAGGCGTAGTGACTCTGGAGTGCGCCAGGGATATGCATGAAGGTTAGGGTTGCGTGCGTTGCAGCCAATGTCTGGGTTTGAATCCTAGCTCCACCGCTCCCTAGATATGTGCCCCTGGGCAAGTGACGTCACCTCTCCGCACCTCATTTTTCTCATGTGCAAAATGTCAAGCTAGCAGGGTATAAAAATTAACGACTTAATATGTGAATGCTCGTAGAGCGTCGTGAGTGCATTCTGAGTGCGTGAGGGCTTTAACCGCGTGAGAAGCGGAGATTCTAGCCGGGCTGCGGGGTGGAGGGTCACTCCCACGGGCTCTGCTCTGCCACGGCCAAGGCCCAGGCAGGGCAACTCTACCTCCTGAGGGTCTGGTGATAAGAATGTTGACAAGAACGAAGCTCTTTCGAGAGGACACCGTGCCCGTGGCTGGCCACACTCTCTATTCCCACTGCTTGGAACTCTTCCCCACCTCCTCCCCTGGCTGGCCCTAAACGGCCACCGGGTTTCCATGTAACCATGACTTTCTCCTGGAGGTCTTCTTTGCTGCTTTGGACCAGGTGCCTCTGGCCCCTGCACTTCCCCTGTCACAGTGTCACCCTGTGAGCATCAGTGGCCTTCCCACTGGGTTCTGAGCTCCCCGAGCAAGGAGCTTCTCAGTGGCGGGAACACTGCCTTTGGGCAGAGCTGCCGTCAGGGCCTTCTGTGTGAGCCAGCCTCCTCCAGCTTCCCGGCGTGGCCTCTCTCCAGGAGGTGACCCGCACGCCTGTCTGTGCCTAGACACACCGGGGACATTCTTGAAGCTTCCAAGCTTCCACCCCACACCTTCTAGACCAGACTATCCTGAGGAGGGGCTAGGGAATGCGTATCTTCACGGAGCTCCCAGGCGACCCAGCCACAGCAGGCCATCAAGGGTGTGATAGCCGCCATTGGAAGACCATGCCCGGGGTGACGGGCCGTACCAGCAGAGGGCACTCACTGAAGAGTTTCTGGTCTCATCAGGTCAGGTTTGATGTGGGTGGAGAGTCTTTCAAGGGGTGTCTGGCCACTTTGCTTTCACTCCACCCACGGCCCCCCGAGCTGGGGAGTCTCTCCCAGTGGTGCTCAAGGCTCTTGTACTCGTGCAATGCTTAGGGAAGAGATGGGCACTGCTGGACCTTCTGCAAGTGGGCTTGTGTTCTTGGAATGAAAGAAAGTCACCCTGTCCCATGCTACTGGTCCCGTCAGTTCTCTTTTGGGTTCAGGGTCTTTGTGGATGAGGCTGGGGTTTCCACGGCTTAAGTGCCATGTGCCTGTGTAGGGGAATTGTGGCTCAGAGCTGAGCCTCTGTTGAAGATAGTAAAGCCCGGGAGTAGATCCGTGGTCACAGGCCAGCTTGTCTGGGCCCCGTGGGACGAGCTGCATAGAGTGACAGCGTTTCAGCCCAAGTCCCAGACTAGGAGGCAGAGGCAGTAGCATAGTGACAAAGAATAGCATGTCCTGGGCACAGCTGTGAAAAGCCAAGATGGGAGGTCTCCTTGTTTTGTTGGGCTGCCAAGATCTTCCCGGGCTTTCCTCCGTCGTTCTCCTGTCAGCTAGAGGCTGTGGTCACACACAGGCCAGATCACTCACCATCTGTTTACCTGTTCTAAAAAGCAGCAAACCAAAAACTTCAGCTGTGGGATGCAGGGACCTCCCAAGGACATCAATTGAGCAAGAAGCTCCAGGGCTTGGCAGGAGCCCCTTGGCTCCTGAATCCTCGAGGGGACGAGGAACAGGTGGTGCTGGGTATGGGTGACAGGGAATGGGTGGCATCCCTGGAGAGGCATTTCTCTTTGGTTTGGTCCAGAGGGAGGCTGTTTCCCTCTCCATCATATGGTCTCGGAGTGCCCACGGGCTGGAAGGATGATGTCACACCCAGAGCAAGGGAGCCATGGCATAGACCTGGCAGCCTGCGGGTATGGGGGGAATGTTGGTTATCCACAGATGGGCTATGGGTTCAACCTGGGTCTGAGAGGAAGAGTCGGGGGTCATAAATAGAAACGTATGACATAAAGGGTCAAGAATGGTGAGTTGGAATGGAGGCCAGATACGGGAACTTGAAGAGGTGGGATCCAAGGTAACAGTGGCCAAGTGATGACCTTAGCCCCAGGGACTCTCAAAGGGAGCTGGGAGCCTGGCCGGCCCGGCCTGGCCGCAGAGCCCGGTCTGCATCTGCCCTGGATTGACCCCTCTCCATCCTGTCTTCCACTAGGCGCCTAGATGCCAACCTCATCTCCTTGGTCCCGGAGAGGAGCTTTGAGGGGCTGTCCTCCCTCCGCCACCTCTGGCTGGACGACAATGCGCTCACGGAGATCCCTGTCAGGGCCCTCAACAGCCTCCCCGCCCTGCAGGCCATGACCCTGGCCCTCAACCGCATCAGCCGCATCCCCGACTACGCCTTCCAGAACCTCACCAGCCTCGTGGTGCTGTGAGTGCTGCCCTGGGCCCGACCCCGGCCGGGGCCTGCTGGGGGCTGGGGCTGCGTGCTGCTTGGGTCGGGTCGCAGCCTTGGCTAGCTTTGCTCTCCTCTGCATGTTGCTGACCCTGCTGGTCTCAGTTTCCCCTTTGTAAAAGGATGAGGATGACCATTCCCTGTTGACCCCATAGGTTAGCGTGAGATGAAATGACACGAGAGCTATAGAAGTGCTCTGAGAGTCCCTAAAAGGCCAGGGTAACTGCAATCAGAATATAGGAATTAAGCTATTATTTTCTTGCTATGCAAATATAATAACTATGCCATGCTAATTGGAATATAAACCAAGAATTTCTGAGGTAATTTCCTCCATATTTGACAATCAGATGATGCAGTCATATGCTTTGGCACAGAGATAGGATAAATTCATCTCGTTTCCCAGGCCTGAAGAAGCAGAGGAAAGCCATCACTTATAATTAGACAGCAAAGCCCCACCAGGGTAATTACCTGGGAGATAGCATCCCTGGCAGGAATTGGGGACTGGGGTTAACTCTGCCTTCCCAGTGGGAGCTTTAGAGAGCAAATTAGCTCCCAGCTAATTGCTATGAATGATTGGTAAGTTCATAGGGTAATTACTAAGGGCTGGGAGGTCATTTGTAATTGCTTCGGGTTACACGCTAATTGCGGCAGGAACCTGCGTGTTAGTGACTCTGCTAAATGGTAACACTGCGTCCCCTGGTTTTGGAAATCTGGTGTGATTTTCCAAGCCAGGGAAGAGGCGACGCTTAGTTCTATCTGAGAGATGAAAAGGCAGGCACCAGTTCGCCAGTGCAACTCTCTGCCCTGGGAGACTGGAAGACCAAGGTAAATACGCTGTGGACCAGGCTATTCCATCAGGACGGCCACACCCTCCCGTCTTCTGGGAGTCGGTCGGTGGGGCTATTTATAGAGGTGAGCAGACGCGGTGGTTGGTGCTAGCTTTGGTGATACCCCTGTGGCATCCTGGGGGAATGGGATCAGGTCTCTACGAGGGACAAGGTTCCTGGAAAAATGAGAACTTCGAGATGGGTCTGAGACAGACGAATGGCAGCAAGCCATTCATAGAGCCCTCATGTGGCGCCTGCAGACTCAGGCAAGCACGAGACAGAGCCACTGCCCTCAAGGGGCTTGCAGTCTAGTTGAAAGATCAGAATACATGCGGGACAAAATAACTATGGTGTAGTGTGACTTGCGCTGACACAGCCGATGCCAAGCACAGAGTCGTAGGAGCATAGGAGTGTCGGGGGAGAGGGAGGCTTCCTGGGGAAGGTGGGGTGGGCCCTGGGCCTGGAAGGATGGTGAAGAGGTGGACGAGTGAAGAGAACGAGAACATTCCAGGCAGGTAGCAATAAAGGCATGGGGAGAGACAGGCAGGGGTGTTTGGCTGCCGGGGAATAGGCCAGGCGGGCCGGAGCAGAGAGGAGAAGAGGGTGGAGAGGTGAGTGTGGGGACTGGCGCTGTCAGAGCCGGATTCTGTCTGCCAGATGGTGACGGAGCTCGAAGGCTGGACGGGAAGTGCGGTGGCCGGTGTAGGGGTGGGACACTGGAGGAGGGAAGGTCACCTGGGAGGCTCTGGTGCATCCATCCAAGTCCAGTTTACGGAAGTGGCGGAAGGGATGGAAGGGGAGCCATGACCGAGGGACGTTTTGGAGGAAGAACTGATCTGGTTTAGAGGTTTTCGGAGGGTGAAAGACCAAGAAGAGGGGCAATCATGGAAGCCTCCGAGGTCCAGCTGTGAGCCAGGGGCTTGGGCACACGGTAGGGAAGGGCAGGGGATGAAGGAAAGAAAACCTACCGGTGCAGGAACAAAGCTCAAAGGGGAGGACTGGTCCCTTCGCACGGTGGAGAGAGCCCAGGAACATTTGTCCTGTTCCTGCCTTCAACTCATGGGACGGAGGAGAGAGGCTTCTAGCAGGCGGTGGGCTGTGGAGGGACAGGCGGCTGGAGAACGCTGTCCAGCAACTGTGGGCTGAGCTGCAGGAAGGCCCGGCGGGCAGATAAGGAAGGCTGCATGTGGTAACCAGCAAGACAGAGGTTAAAACCAAGGGCTAGACAGGGGCGGGCAGGGGGTGTGAGTAGACAAGCAGGGTGGAGGAGAAGGGGCTTCTCTTCAACCCAAACCCCATACTTTTATCATACAGGCTGCTCAGCATGTGTGGGACCCTTCTCCCACGGCTGCGGCCCCGGCAGGACCACTGGGCAGCACTTAATCGGGCGGCAGTGGTGGCCCGTGTGTAATCCCGTGTCTTTGTCTGGAATACACGCTCCAACACTGGCCCGGCCGGGCTACTAGAGGTGCCAGGGTACGAGGGTTGAAGCAGTGGTTCGGATGAGGGGACCGGAGGCTTGGAGCCGGATGTTTCGCTGAGATGGTCTGGACCAGAGATGCTGGGGAGGAAGAGGAGGATGGAAAATGGAGATAGGAGTTCAACAGGAGGTAGGGAAGATGATGGCCTTTGGTGACAGCTGGGATGAACCCCTTTCTTTGTAAAGGGAGATAATTCATTCCCAGAAATCAGAAGCTGCGTTTTCCCTGTGGGATCAGACGTTCCCTGGGGGCAGGAATCTGTCTCCCTGGCCGGAACCTCATGGAGCAGGTGGGCAAGGATGAGATAGACAGGCAAGAGCTTTCAACCCCAGGACTGGCGAGACTCCCACCCTCACCATCCACGTTGGTTGGGGCCTGCCTGTTGCCTTTGTATTTGAACAGCTTGGAAGCCAGCCTGATTTTTCCCCCCTTGTCAGTGATTTCCTTTTTCTGCCTTAAGATGTTTTTAAATTCTTGAACTTTAATAGCTTAACCAGAATGTGTCACAGTGTAGAATATTCTGCATCCAATTATCCTGGAACAATGTATGCTTTTGAGCTGTGGATTCCATTCTTCCTGCATCTTAGAGAATTTTTTGGATTATGGTTTTGAATGCAACTTCAGTCTCGCTTCTGGATTCTCTGCTTCAGAGACTTCAGTCACCCGTGTGTTGAATCACCTTTGTGTCTTCATCATTGCTTAGTTTTTTCTGTGCTAACCTTTCTGTCTCATTCAACCCTATTCACCAGGAGTAGCTCACGCTTTCTCTCCGACATCAATTCCGTTTTTAGCAGTGTCTACGCTGCTCCTTGTTTCAGATTTATTGACTCATTTTTTTTATTGATGTACTGTTGGTCCGCGATTTATTTTTTTAATCTACCATGTCGTTTCATTTTTCCTTTCATTTAAAACATTTTGACTTTGAAATATTGTTTTATGGGATTGTTTTGTAGCAGAAGGCTATTGTGATAAATTTCTTTCTTTCTTCTTAGTTATATTTTCTTCGAGACTTGGAACTTAGCCTGTGTTTTGCATCCTTCCTTTTCTCCATCTGTTTCTCTGTTGTACGTGTGCATAATCGCCATTCCATTTCTTTTCTCTGGCTTGTGCCTGGATAGCTTTTCCCGGTGGCTCCGGCTGCATCACCCCTTCTCCTGGAACGGCCTTCCCTCCGCTTGTTCAGTTCGCCGGTCCTTCAAGGCCCTGCTCTGGATCACCGCCTCTATAAAGCCTTCGTGGATTCCTCTGGCCTCACCAACCTCTCTGTCCTCTGAGCTTGTCTGCAGCTCTCTCCGGTTGTAACCGAAAGCTTAGCCTTTAATTATATGTTGTCTGCAGTGGTTTGCTATTGGGTCCCATAAGCTTCTCTGGCCACTGAGTCAGGCAGGCTGGGTCCCGGGGAGCAGGGCCATGGCCGAAGCCTCAGACCTGAGTCCCTCTGACGTCGGGCCTGTCTCCTCGAGCTTAGTGGGAGCTTCCTTTAGCCTTGGCCTGGGGCTCTCCTCTCCCTTTTATTTATTTTTTTTTTCAAAGGAAGTCAAAATGGGGAAGCCTGTGGTCAACCCAGTCTTGGAGATTATGGCTTCAGAAGCCAGTCTTGGCCAGTCAGTTTGTTCCTGGAGACAAAGGGCTGGACCACTGGGGTCATTCTGTCCATGCTCCTGCTTCCGCTTAAGTCACCACTGTCCCATCCCCGGGCCCCCGTGCTGTGGGCACCCGAGCTGATGTGTCTTCCTTCCCACGCAGGCATCTGCACAACAACCGCATCCAGCGTCTGGGAACCCACAGCTTTGAGGGGCTGCGCAGCCTGGAGACTCTGTGAGTGTTGGGGTCCTGGTCAGACGGGGTCCTGCCTGGGGATGGAAACCTGGCGTCCCCAGCCGGGGGCAGTGGAAACGCGGAAGGACTGGGGTGCTGGGATCTGGCCCCAGGCTTGCTCACCCACATGCCCCTCCCTGGCATGTTCCCTGGAGTGTCACTCAGAACGCGTCCCTTCCTCCTCCAGGTGGGCAGAACGTGCCCTCTGGGAGCTCAGAGTGGCCCAGGGGCTGGGGACTTAGGATCCCTGCTGGCAGAGACCACCAAAATAATGCAAATTTTTGGACAGAAGTGGGAAGTGCAAGGAGAAGCTGAAGGAATCTGAATGTTGAGCCTTGGGGAACGGAAGGCCCGGGGCTGGGGCTGGGGCCGGGGCCGACTCGATGGCAGTTTTGACGTCTGTTTAGGGGTGGCTGCGGACAGAAGGGAGAGTGAGACCGCGGAGCAATGCGGGACTTTTTGCCAGTGGATCTAACTAGCTCCGTGATTAATGGGGAGGTGGCCCACTCATCGCTCCGGCCTGACTATAAAAAGCACCCTAGCTGTTGACTCTTAAACAGCGGTATTATTCACACATCATCATCCTGGAATCCGGCTAAGGTCAGAATGCACCCAAACCCTCCCATCGCTTCCTCTGGAGCCCCGCCAGCCCCCGCAGAGTGGGCCCAGCGGCCCCACTTGAGCAAACAACTGGCCGGGCTCTCTAAGCGTGGCTGGCCTTGCCAGCCCGGGTCCCTCAGCTCCCGGGAGGGAAGGGGCTGCCGCGGCCACCTGGTGCAGGCCCAGGAGGGGGTGCTGGGGGGAGAAGGCCCCCAGGTCATCAAGCGTGAGCCACTGGGATGGTCACAGCTCCTCTTGAGCCACCCCTCCCCCGCTACACCTCCACTCGTAACCAACGCCCCCCCCAGTCTCACCGCCCCCCTACATACACGCACACCCAGAGCATTGCTGCCGAGGCCAGGGATTTGCAAGATGCAAAGCAGAAGAGGAGAAAACGCTGGGAGACAAGCCGGGACCTGGGAAGCAAGGCGCTGGGAAAGCCGTTTGGCAGGGGCGGTCCCGGGAGGCCTGGCTGTGAGCGCCTGTGGCTGTGCAGGGAAGGGGAATGGGGAGGCCGAGGCCAGACCCCACTCCGCTCTCCTGTGGGCGCGACGCGCAGGAACATGGCTGGTGGGGGCTGGGGATCGGGGTGCGCGGGGCGGGCCCGGCCTGGAAGGAGGAAAGTTGGAGCCTCTCCCTGCCACTGCGCCTGACTCGGGCTCTGAGTTCCCCTCTCCAGCTGTCGTGGACAGCTGGGCGGCACTGCTGGACAGTCTGGCCCGCTCAGTCGACACACAGGGGCACCGGTGTGCAGGGGGGTGGCCTGGCTCACCCCGAGTGGCACCCTCGGTTCTCGCCAGGGCAGAGCTGGGGCGTGTCAGCGCGAAACATACAGGACAGTCCCTAGGGCGGCGCCCAGCTGTCCTCCGTGTGAGCCTGCTGCTGCTAGGCGCTGGGGCTCCTGGCTGGAAGGGATGGTCGTTATCCGGGCAGAGCCCTCGGGAGCCCGGAGAGCTCAGGGCGGCGTTCGGGGTTGCCCCGCACCTGCAGGGCAGGAGGGAGCCCAGCGCGGTGGCCCCGGCGTGTGGGCGCTGCTAGAGCTGCTGGGAAGTCAGGTGGGGAGGGGCGCACACGCTGGGTGTGGGTTGGCACCTCTAAAAAGCCAACGAGCAGCTGTTTCTTCACTTTTGGGGCACTCTGCCTAATTCTTTCCCAATTAGCCGCTGGATCGCTGCGCAGGGCGTTTGGCTCAGCTGGCGCTGGCGGGGTTACAGAGCCGCCCCGCCGCCGGGCGCCCACTCCACCTTTCATCTGCGGCGGTGCTCGGCTCCATCCTCAGAGCCCAGGGCCTGCGCCCACTTCGCAGATGGGAAGGCCGAGGCTAAGAGCAAAGAGAAAGCTCCCCCACTTGATGGTGTGGAGGCAGAATAGCCTGGTGGGGAAGGCCTTGGTGTCACACAGCCTGGGGTACGGTGCCGGGTCTACCAGCTGTGTGACTTCGGTCAAGCCATCTGCCTCTGTGAGTCTCAGTTTTCTGATCGGCAACACAATGCCACCAGGAAGACAGCTCTCGCAGGGGCGGAAGGTGGACTCAGTGAGATGATGTGCGTGAAGTTCCTACAGAGCCAGGGGCAGAGGGACCTGCCCTGCATTCCCCTCCCGTCCCCATCCCTTCCTGCGAGGGCCTCCGTCTCAACAGCACCCCTTTCTTCCCCACCCTTGAGGGGTGAGTTCTTCTTCCAACTTTTGATCTCCAATTAAAGGGGGGAAAGTGTGTTCTTTATCCTCTATCCCCCAGAGCGTTTGCTGGGGAGCCGGTAGGGGCAGCCAGGTTGGGGGCTGGAAGCGGGAGGAGGAGCTGGGAGAATAAAAGGAGAAAGAAATGATAGTCAAACCTTTTAATTGTTGCATAATTGGCACGCTTTGCAGCCTCGGTTATTACTCCGGAGCGTTTCATGTGAACTTCTCACTGGAAGGGTATTTCTCCCTCGGGCCCCATAAATCTCTGCCGCTTAGCCCTCTCTCATCTCCGGCAGCAGAGCGAAGATCAAACCCCTGTGGCCCAAGCTGTGGTTTGGCTGGAGCTGTGGCTTGGCTCCTCTGCACACTCCTGGGGGAGAGTGCGGCCCCCAGCCATGCCACCTGGGGAGGGGGGGGCCAGGTACGGGCATGCACGCCTGCATGCGCGTGGTCACGCAGGCACCCCGAGCTGCACCGCCAACCGTGCACACATGAAGTGCACATGCCACATGACTGAAGCCCTGCATGACCCTCACTCTGCATAGACACCCCCACCCGCACCCCAGCGCAGCACAGAGATGCCCACTGCAAATGCATCTGCCGCACCCCAGCCTCTGTTACACCCTCAGGCTGCCTGGCTTCCAACCCCGGCTCCGCCTCTGCAAGCTAGGTCACCTTCGTGAGCCTTGGTTTCTTCATCTGCACAATGGGCTACCTCAAAGGTGAGGAGTCAGAGACAGAGAGAGAGAGAGACATGAGTAAAATACTATGCTCTAAAGAGTAAAATACTTTAGAGTAAAATACTTTACTCTAAAAGAGCCAGGCGATTCCAGATGCTTTGGGTAGGGTTCCTGGCCGGGCTCTGTTAGCCCTCTGTCCTACCGACTAGAGTAGATCATGCAAACGCCACATGGGCCCCTGAGCACAAAGCTTGCTGCCCTCCGAGGAAGTCTGGCCTCATAGGAAGGAGGCTCCCAGGACATTTCTCCTGATAGAGTCATCACCATTCCAGACTCTGCCAAGAAACCTCAGCCAGAGGCAGACAGGACATGCCCTGTCCTGCACCCACAGCTCCCAGTCCCACAGCGAGATGACCCACCACTTGTAGAGAAGTTCAGAAGCAGAGCTGGTCTAGCCCCAGCCTGAGAAGTCATATGTCCTCCACGTTCCAGATCAGACCAACTCTGGAGATTTGGGGCGAGCCGCCCAAGCTGCTATAGTTGGTGAATGACGGTAAACCGTTAGTAGCCATACCTTTTTTTCTTTTTTTTTTGAGACAGAGTCTCGCTCTGTTGCCCGGGCTAGAGTGCCGTGGCATCAGCCTAGCTCACAGCAACCTCAAACTCCTGGGCTCAAGCGATCCTCCTGCCTCAGCCTCCCAAGCAGCTGGGACTACAGGCATGTGCCACCATGCTCGGCTGATTTTTTCTATATATACTTTTAGTTGTCCAGCGAATTACTATTTTTTCAGTAGAGACGGGGTCTCGCTCTTGCTCGGGCTGGTCCTCAACTACACCCTTTGCTTCATAATGCGTTGCTCCACTTAGCACCAGCTCCCTCAAGGTCAGATCAATCACAGGACTTCCCAGGTGTCTAGGTTGAGAACTGAGAGAGAGCACAGTAGAGAACGATTCTGGGAAGGTTCTTCCAGGAGGTCTCGGCGGCCTGAAACCAGGGGCGTGTGCCCTAGGTCAGTGCTTGGAAATGTGTGCGTGGAGGCCGCGCGAGCTATTCCAGCCTGACAGCTATTGATCCCAGAGTTCCCAGCTATTCTGAACAATAAACCTTTGCAAAGAAAAAGACATAGCCACCCCAGTGACACCCTGCGGGTCCCAACCTCACTCCCTAGACCTGGGAACTGGATGTCTGCATCTCAGCTGGAAGCCAGAGGAGAGTTCAGGATGGCTCTTGGGACAACAGTGCATCACCTCCTCTGGGCCTCGGCGGTGATCTCTGGGCCCTGTAAGAACCTCGTTAAACAAATCGACCCGCGCTCGCTGGACGTTTCCCTGGGAGGAGAGCCTGGGGCCCCGTGAGAACAGACACTTCCTGGCCCCAGCTCCCTCTCTAAATCAGGGCCAGCATGCAACAGGGATCTTGGATCGGAGGAGGGCAGGGCAGGAATTTATAGAATTCTGCCTTGTAGGGCCGTGCGCGGTGGCTCACGCCTGTAATCCTAGCACTCTGGGAGGCCGAGGCGGGTAGATTGTTTGAGGTCAGGAGTTCGAGACCAACCTGAGCAAGAGCGAGGCCCCCGTCTCTACTATAAATAGAAAGAAATTAATTGGCCAACTAATATATATAGAAAAAAAAAATTAGGCGGGTATTGTGGCGCATGCCTGTAGTCCCAGCTACTCGGGAGGCTGAGGCAGGAGGATCGTTTGAGCCCAGGAGTTGGAGGTTGCTGTGAGCTAGGCTGACGCCACGGCACTCACTCTAGCCTGGGCAACAAAGTGAGACTCTGTCTCAAAAAAAAAAAAAATTCTGCCTTATAATATGAAATTGTACGTTCCAAGTTAGCCTCCTCTGGTGGCAGACGCTGCAGTGACATGTTTCCATGGAACTTTTTTACTTTAACAGCGGCCATGGATGGAAAATGTTCCTCTGTCTCTATGTCATTGAAACCACAAACCGTGTTTCCCCGAAAATAAGACCTACCCATAAAATAAGCCCTAGCAGGATTTCTAAGCATTTGCGCAATAGAAGCCCCACCCCGAAAA